ATCTGTTCTGTTCCACGTGTGCTTTGCTAATTTTATTAACAGAAGTCATGTCTGAATGACAGTTGTTTGACTGTAACATTTGTGAATCACGCCTTAGCTTCATCGTTCTGAGATATTCTGTGGTTAAATCGTGCAAGGAAATGTCACAACTAGAGTCCAGCATTGATAGTAATTTTGTTCTGATATCGGAATCCGCAGGCAAGGTTAAGCCAGATACCAAAACCAACACTTTGAATTAATCATCTGACATTCTTCTATATCGGAACCTTTCACATTCCATGTTCACTCTACCTGCATATGTCCCAATGTCTTCGTCTTCTGCTCTAGTAAGCTTTAAACAATTATGACGAAGTAAATGTAAATGTCCGCTCTCCAAAAATTATGGTAAGCTTATCCACGGTTTCTTGCAGACTTAGGTCTTTTGGCAGAATGTATTTCAATATCTTGTGTGTTCAGATCGTCCAATTTTTTGTATCATCAACCGTACTTTTGCTGATTCATCCAATGCTGAACCGTCGACAATAAAAATGGCTTCAGAGCTCTTGTGCCAAGATAAAAATGTCCTGCCACTGGGTGACTGCCTTCTTGGAGGGTAGAGAACAGTGTGTACGGGTAGGCCGGGGCCTATCGTTTAGGCAGTCGGTCCTCAGTGGCGTGTCACATGCCTCGGTCATTGGACCGCTGCTGGTCTCTATCTATGTGAATGACCTACCCGCGAAGCTTGAGGTACCAACGCTGCTATTTGCTGATGACCTGAAGCTGTGGAAAATTGTCGAGATTCCTGGGGGGTCCGAATCTATTCAGGGAACATTGGATAAACTTTGGGACTGGTCTACTTTATGGTTACTGCCCATAAATCAGGCAAAGTCCCCCGTTCTTCTAAGTGGAGGAGGTGGTCCTCCTACGAAGTACGTGGTCGGTGGGGTCGAACTCCCCCGTGTATCTAGTCTGGTTGACCTAGGCGTCGTACATGCTTCGGCTTTACACTCCGGCGACAACTAGAAGAAGACGGCAAGCAGAGGTTTCCGCATGTTGTGGTTAATACGACGTTCTTTCGGAGTCTTGAGGGGCGGCATCTTTACGAGGCTGTTCTCGGCTTTCGTTTTACCTCATCTGGAATACTGCGTCTAGGCTTGTCCGCCCTGCCTCGTCCGGGACAAAATGGAGCTAGAAAGGGTTTTACGAGTGGGTACCAGATAAGTCGAGGGATTACGGGGACGGACGTACCCCGAGCGTCTACTTAGTTTGGGAACACATTCAACGCACTACCAAAGGCTTAGAGGAGACCTAATCCTAACCTACCGTATCTTAACTGGGAGGGTCGGTCCAGATTTATCTGGGCTATTCAGTCCCGCTAGGTTGTCTGTTCTACGCGGTCATTCCTTGAAGCTGGACAAACCGCGGTTCGAACGGATTAGGGCGGAAATCTGGCTGACGCGCCGAGTTATCGATTGCTGGAACATGCTTCCGGAAAGTGTTATCAGGGAATCTACGGTTAAGGGGTTTGAGCGGCAACTTGACGCTCTTGCGTGGCAACACGAGACCTTTCCATTTTCCTGAGTAACTCGCGTCTTCGTACTTCGATTTTCTTTTCTCTACTTTTCTTCACGCATTGGTTTTATTTTCTTATTTCAAGTGCACTTCCTTATTCTGTACCTTCGATTTCTCTTCCTATCCTTCGCTGACTTCACGTGATTGCCACGGCAGGGACTGCTAGGGCAGGAAACTTGGGCATTAACTGGTTGGCCAGGGTGCGATACGGGTGTTCCGTTTTAGATCCTTCAATGTCTGAGCATTTCATAATTCCTGGCTCAACGATCCACTCAAGGTGGAACACTCACGGGATTCTCCCATCGTTCCAGTCCCATCTGAACTGAACAGAATTCTTGAATTCCATTGGGCAATGCAACTTTAAGTTATCACTGCTATCCTCTGGAACCTCTGATTTGTGTGCTGAAAAAGTTCGTGCGAAACTTCAAATGATTTCTGCTGTTGATCCAATTGACATTACTGATTTCGTAACATTTGCAAGATAACATTTTGATAAACCATCTCCGTCGTCAGACTGTTATAACTTCCGCTTAGTAGTAAGAAGACAGAATTGACAATGCTTGAAAACGTTGTTTGCACGACTGCCGTTACAAGTAACTGTCAGGAATGCCGTTAACTACACACTTGATCGAAACCAATCGATGCTCACGTGCCATGTGGTTAGTTGAAAGTTCCAAGCTAACGTACAAACACCAGCGTTGGAAATCGATGGATTTTCAAGTGCTGTCTGTGTGGCTGACATCGGTGATCTCTAACATTCAGCATTACTTTCACTACAATAACGATGCTGAGAAGAAGTTACCTTTGCCTGCAAATAGCTCTCCTGGAACGGATGACATCCATTCGCATGCACTGCAGTTAACAGACATAAACCTATTCGAAACACTGGACGGGATTTACAACGCTGTTTAGACGAGAACTTCCTTCCATTGAACTGTGGGCTTGTTAACATCACTCTTAAGCACAAAGGAGAAATTGACCTGAGCCGGTCGATTACCGCTCTGGAACGCTTCTCCTGTCCCGTCTAGGTCATGGTAGCCATCTTTGCAGAGGTATTGATGAGCAAACTGGAAAACCAAGATATCATCGCACCGGAGCAGAACGGTTTTCATCAACATCGATGATGTACCACGCATCCGCTGACTGCACGGGACAACTGGAGCTAAGTAGTTGACGAGTGGAGAGAAACCAGTGTACGTTACTTGGGCTTCTTATAAGGATTCGATCGCTTGGGTCATCGTATCCTGCTTTCTATACTTCAGAAATATGGCGGACTAGATCCAGTATTAGGATGGATCAGAAAATTTCTCCGCGAACGGTGATTGGATATAATAGTCCGAACATCTCTGTCCGACGCAATTCGGGTAGAGCTCGGCTTATTGCTAAGTTCGGTAATCGGGCCTCGCCTGTTTCTGGTCACCTTTAACTATCTAGTGCGAGCCATTGCATACTGCCATCGCAGACTACGTTAAAGTTGGGTGAGCGATTTAGGGCCAGAAAGACTACGAGAACCTTCGGCAGGATCCTGATGGGTCCTGGAATTTCTCGATGCGAAACGCGCAGCCATTCAATGTGGACCAGCAGCAAGTTGTGCACATCCGCCACCGACACGCCAACATCTACAAGCTACGGGCGCACAATCTGCAGTACACCCCTCAGAAAGGTGACCTAAGTGTGCTGGTGCAGGACGAACTCGGTATTTCCAGACATTCTGAGATCGCTTCAGATAGAGGTAGCCAACATGTTATTCTCTTGTAGAGTTCATTTGGGAGCTGGATTTATCCATGTTCTCAATGATGTTCAATATGCACTTGTGTCCCAATATTGAATATCCTATCCGGGCTTGGCTATCCTCGCTTAAGCGTGACCTCGCAACGCTCGTGACCCTCCGACCTCACGCAACGAAAGATGCCTAGATTTTGTGCCACCCTAATTACCAAGGACTGAAGAAACACAGACTGTTCACTGGACGCTAACGGCGGCTACGTGGAGACCTCATATTACTGTGTCAAGTACTGAGCGATTACAGTATTTCCTGGAAAGTAAGTAAATGATACAGTCGCCTAGCTTTTCGACGAAGATACCTCTCCCTCCTAAGCTACCAACTCTGGAACACCATACTGAAATCAGTTTTTGGTTCAACAATGTAGCCGTTTCAAACAAACTTTGAATATTTCATTCAGCCCCCTACATTTTTTACATTATCAGATACTCCAGATTGTATTACGGTTAACTGGCCTAACTGGAATCATAATCCCTGCTGGCGCAAGTAACGCAGCATAGGCGAGTGACTAATCCTTCTACTGCTCATAATAAGCCCTGACCATATTAACCTACTATTCTGCTTTGTATGGCGTTATCGAACTGTCACAACCCTGATCCTAATATAGTGTTGTCTGCTCGCTTCAGAGTTGCGCGTTTTTGCCCGAATAATAATCTAATAATTTGCAATTCCTTCCCTCACCATTATACCTGACCTATTACGTCTATGCTATTCTATCCGTCATAAACCATTGTCCCATTGTTCCGACCTCTGGCGCACGACTAGAGTCCGTTGTTTGAACGAAACAGCACATATAGCTTCAGCCAATTTGTGGGAGGTCTGAAGTTAACCATGTTCCAACAACTTCGTTCTATCTATTTCAATATTTATTTATCTCTTATTGGTTAGGCACCAATCTTCACGAAACTCAGTCTGCAATCACAGGAGCGAATACTGGTCGACAGAACTGAAACATATACGTGAATGGTGTGCATTCTAATGTTAATTACTCGGGTGTCAGGTGTCGTGGCAGCAAGCCCGAATCAACGTTCGCACAGTTACTGACATTTTGTTAGTTAAGCTTTCTTTGATTTGTGTTACTTTATCCAAGCGGTGGTATAACGGGAGCTCTGGTCTAGTGACCAAGACGAAAACCGTTAACCCCTGTGTAGGGCTCCCCTCTCAGCTCAAGCTATCCCTACCTGAGCAGTCCAAATCAGGACGAAACCGGTGAGTCATGGAGTGCAGTGTTGGGAGGAAGCAGTTCCGAAATTCCCCACTTCGGATGCAGTCACAGTGCTCAAAATGATTCACAGCAAACTGTGACTTCCATGGAGATTGTGTGTCGCCATCCAGTTACGCGACGGGTACCTCAAAACACAATAATGCACGGTTTAATTACACTCCACAAGTCAAGGCTTCGTAAAAAGGCATCGGCATCGGACAGGCGGACAAAGATTCTGAGGAACAAAATTAGTCGGAGAAGAATAGTTTCAGAATTATGTAGTACAGTTTTATGAATATGCTGACATTGCACTAACCACAGGTCTTATGCACAACATATTCCATACAATGATAAAACTAGATATAGAACAAATTACTCTGCAGGCATTCGGTTTGAAGAGTACTTTTCATCTCGGTAACTTACTACCAAATACCTCGAAAGTATGTGTCAGAGGCTACGTACTTCGAATGGCGTGGACTTGGAGGATATTGTTGTGAAACCCACGATATCACTGAAGTAGATGGTACACTGATCATAAGCTTCTGGTGCAATGTGTTTCCCCAGACGAAGTTGTTCCACCACCGGTTTGGGCAGCATGCCTTGGTAGGGTTCATGGAAGTCAAAGCAGACACTAATAATAGATATGCATAAAGAGCAAAACCTGATTTATATACTACGTATCCTGTACATCTGCTTGCAAAACAGTTTCCATCATCACGCCGGGTTATGATATCAAAATAAATTACTAGTGTGCCACACGGACAGACACTATTATTATTATTATTATGAAAATCAGGTTATCTGCTTTCGATTGTCCTAGTACGTTTGCCCCTCCTGAGTTTCGATGAAAAAAGAACAAATAAAAAAGAAGCATCGAGTTTGAGCTGTCTAGGTTAACAGATGACCAAATATGAGAGGAGAGTTACTGCGCCTCCCTGGCCTCCAGATTGCACCATCGAATGCTCGTCCACCACGCAAGTAATTTAGCTTGGGTAGCATGTATAGGTTATCATGGTGATTTCCGTGTTTTTCTGCAACGGCGTCAATTGCACCAGGACCTCCTTCACTTTATAGTTAACAGTAGTCACACATATAAACTACATGCCACCTGACTGGCGGTGGATTTCGTGGGAAGTGCAACTGGTTGCCAACGCTCTCCGCGCATTCACAACATGCATGAGAACAGTGGGCGACGTGCGCTATATTGTAATTGGTATTCACTCAGCTGTCCACCTCCGCCTCGTATGTCTCAGTGTCATTGGTGTGCGAGGTGTACTTCATTCGAAGCGAGTAGGATTGGACAATTCCCATTAGTGCAAAGGCGCCTACCACAGCCTTTCTAATATGTGATGGTTGTCTGACTGGTAGTGGTCCCTGCTGTTTTGAGGTGCGGCCACAGAGAAGGTAAATGTTCTGCGCACATGGACCAACAACCTGTCGGGTGCGGAACTGCGTTTGACTTGCGCTTGACATGCGTACAATGCTGTCACGTGACAACCGGACTGATCGATCAAGAGAACTAAATACGGCACATTCCAGTTAGAACCGGCTTTTAACTATCCTCTAAATTCATGAATTGAGCTTCCCGCTTGTACGGCAGTAATTGTGGTACAAAATTAACGGGAGAAATGCACGAACATGCACAAACTCGGTGGAGACACTCTTGCGGGGTATGACCGCAAATTATGGTATGATGAAGATCAATGCTGCACATAGCTTTTGCTGATGCGGCTAACTCACTTTAAGGAACTATGAACGCAGGTCACTATCGCAAGTGTAACAGGAGCTTGGTTTGTTGCGTAAACTCAGGAGGATAGGTTATTCTACAGAGACATGTAAGCGATAATTGAAACCAAGGCAAACAAATAGTTCTCACTTTGTAACAGCTGGTCTGTCAGATTCTGTTCTAGTTGAAGGGCGCATGTTCGTTGCTCAATGGCGCATTCTAGTTGGGTGGCATATTCCTTCATCTGCAACAGTGACGGTAACAGGAGACATGCAATGATGAGGACTTCACATCATGTCATGAATCAACAGCCAGCATGCAACCGCACTACCGGTATGTCGACTGTCTCACACAAGCCGAGGGGCGTTTTGAGGAGTGTTCAGTGCTGAGTTAACGTAAGCGGAAAAATAGATTACGAAGGAAGGCAATGGGCACGGAATGGAACTTCCTTTACCAAAGCTGTAGTGTAGGCGTCTAAGAGTCCTGTATTTAGTACGGTACTTTGGTTTCACACTGGTCTTCTTCTACTCCTTTCACCGGGTGGTGGGTCAGCTGCCAATAAATTATTGCCTAGAAGCGAGGCAACACTGCTAACTGCTGTTGTACTGCAGTTGCTTGTAATCGTGGATTACCTTATTCAACATTGTATATGTCAGACTGGGCAAAAGCGTATACCGGGAGCGCAATCACAGATTAGTTGCTGTGAGAATTAGGTCACTCGGAACCAGTGGATTCTGGAGAAATATCGCCTGAACTAGTAGGTAGAGACCAAAAAAGGATAACTGAATTTAAATGCTACCATTAGTATGAAAGTGCTAAAAGATCTATAAGGCACACCAGCACTTGGATGTGTCCTGATAGATCGCCCTTTGTAAACAAACAGTTTTCTCAATGAAAGTGAGCCAACGAGCGAGAATAAGTTAGTACAGTTGTCACAAGGATTAACTGCATACTGTTTCGTCACACTAAAACTAACAACGCCGATGAGCTGTGCCCAACGATAAGTACAGTGTTGCTGTACATTGGAGCAATTTTCAAAATTTACATGTGTTCAATCATCACACAAAATACGGTTTGGATTGCAGTGCATCCACAATTTGTCAAGCTAATAGCAGGAGACGCGTGGGCGTGTGATTACGTCTGACACGTCCAGTAATATGGTTCCTCAATTCGATCCACTTCGTTCACTCTGAACGGTTACCAGCAACACATCCAGCGTCTCATACATGCCAAACACTAGGCAGATGTCATCCCTATAATTGTCTAGGTACAAGTGTGGTACACAATATAGGAAATCCAGGTGGCCATGTTTTGCTTTTAGGTTTAAAACTCTGTAACAAGGCATCCCAGAAACGCTCTGCACAAACATTGTACGATTTTCAAACGGTCGTATTCACTTGGTCCACTGATCCCCGGCTGATAAGCGGACCGTGTCTCTGCGACTTTGGGACATCAGTGATTACCCATCGTTTATCTGACTAATCTGTGCTTCCGGCTTTTCGATACAGGTAACGTGCTATTGGCATGTTTGTCGCGCCGCAGTATTGGTCTTCATTCACATGATTGGTCACCGTCCAGTCACGTGAGGTTTCCTCGCTCGTGCGAATCGGCTGTGTTCCACGGTCCGCGGTTGGCCTGTCGAGTCTAGCAGACTCGGCCAATTTCTCAAACCGCATAACACAGTGTTGGCTTCCTTTCACGTGATTGGCTACGGACTCATTGTAATGATCCAGAGTCTAATCGAGCGTGGTTTTCTCACTCGTGTAGATCTGCTGCGTTTCATGATCCGCAGTTGGCTTGTCACGCCTATCAGGCTCGGCCGTTTGCTCGAAGCTCATTGCAGCTGTGGTTCGACTGCCGGCCACCTCCCTTCTTTTTGCTTTCCATTGCATGTCACCAGGTTTATCGCGACCTGTGTGTCGGATACGAAAGAACCCAAAACTACGAAGCGGACGAATATTACGTATTTGGCGGGTGTGCCAGCAGAACCGAAATACACACTCATGGTAAAACTCATGCAGCCGACCATCAGAATCCGCTAAGCACGACGAAATGTCAAACCAGCCGGCCGTCCACCTGCGATCGGTCTTTGACAGCAAGCTCAGCTGCATTCATTTGGTGGGATGCATGCACGCAGGTACCTACTCTCGCTATTCCGGGTCCTATTCCTCCGGAGAAGTACGGTTCATGATTGGACTATGACTGTTGGGAGCAACAAGTGTGCTGGCACGTGAGCCAGTTTTCGGACCACGAAAATGAACCAGCGATGCTTGCTCTCCTGGGTCGCGGAGCGCATCGCACAACGACCGCGAAATATGTTGTGTTGTAGACGTGATCAACGAAATGACATTTGCGCAACTCAGACCATCCTTAGTGCCTCCACTGCAAAAGTGGGAGTACGGGCGCTTGTTTCAGCAACCCATGGAGCAGGCTGGGCGTGAATTCTTATATTAGTTGTGGCGTTGCTGAAGCTTGCAGGATCCGCATACCCTAACGACGACCAATCCAGCCGAGAGAAGAAGGCTCTCACCAAAGCAGTGCAAGGGACGACAGGCCCTGATGTCCGGTGTGGATTTTGGGGACCTGCAGCTGGACTAGAAGGTCTTGCGCGTGGCGCTGCACCGATTATTCATACGTGACTACTGGCTAGAGATTGCCAGTAACAACGGGGGTATGTCTTCTGAGTAGCAAATGTCCAGCGGGACAAGTATCCGAGATCCGCCCACCGAGCATATTAGAACAGACGCCCGCTACCAAACAACTGCGGTTCAATCGCTCATCCACCTCTCCGGTCGCACAAAAACTGCGCCTATTGTAGTAGGTTCGGTACAGCCGCGTAGCCTGGGGACACAATGGACTCTGTAAGTCGGAGATGTGTCTATTGTCAGTGATTTCTCTCTCGAATTCGGGTGTCGTCGCCACCTCTATGGCAGCTGGGCCCGTGTGGACAAGGGAAGTCTAAAGGTTAGTTGACGCCAGTGCTGCATGCTCCTTGGTTCGAAAGCGTACACTACGTTTGACGCCGTTTTCATCAGGACAGTCCGGTTAATTTAATGGCGGCTAGGGGTTCCACCTTTAGAGTCGCAGGCTGGGCCACAGCCCAGATTAAGTTGGTTAGTGGTTCCGCCAGTCACCGCTTTTTCTTGGTGAGTACCCCTCCATGGAATGTTGTATTGGGTATGGATTTCCTTTCCCACTTGTGTGCTAAGATTTATCTGACCACAAATCGCTGGTGCTTTGCGAGCAGGTAATATCCTTCGCAACCACCGACTGTTCGTTGCTGTGCTGCAACTTGAACGAAACTCCCGTACAGCAGCTAAGTTAAAATCTCCCAGCAAGACTACCAAGTTGTATCAGTGAATCAGTAGATGACATTTTGAATCGGTATCAGCACACGTTCTAGTGAGCTGTTAACTACTTAGAACAGTGTAACTTTATACTGTCCCGCAGTGAGACCTATACCACACTGCCATCCCGTCGAACTTCGCGGCGTTTACTGCTCTAATTTCAGGAAGAATTGAAGCGTGTTCATAGATGATATACTTAAACGTGACATTATTAGGTTGCGCAAGTCTCCCTGTGGGGCTCTCAATGTCCGTGGCAAAAAGAAAAACGATAAACTGCAATTGCGTGTCGATTGTCTCAGGCTAAACGCGGTTACTCGGAATAACTCTTTCTCGTTGCCTAGAATGGATGGTAACAGAGACACTCTTATTAGGTCCCGGTGATTCACCACGTTGGAGCTGGCATCCGCCTATAGATAAGATGAGCTTCACCCGGCGGACAGGTTCAAGTCGGCATTTATCGTTCTCTCCAGTCTTTATGACTTCCATACGGTGCCATCCGTCTTGACAAATGTGCCCGACAACTTTCACCGTTTATTGTGTACAGCGTTGGGAGAATTAATACGAAACCACTAATTAGTAAACGACTATAAAGTAGTACACGGCAAGACAGTGAAGAATAACAACTGAAGTCTCACTCTGCTTCCAGACCTGCTAATACAACAGGGTTTGAAAATGCCAACCACTAAATGCCAGTTCCTGAAGAACCAAGTGACTTGATTTCATCAAGTCGTATCTGAGAACGGGGTACGCTGCGAGCCAACGAATCTGGAGCAGACCCTCTCATGACCGATAACCGTAAACCTTGACAAATTGCGCAGCGACCTTTAGCTAGCTTCCTACAATCGGTGTTTTATGCGGGGACTCTCAATGATCGTTTCTCCCTTGACAGAAATTTTGAAGGATAGAAAAACCTCCACCTGGGAAGAGTCTCAGTAAACGGCTTTCAAAAATCCTTAGAAGCACATTATACACGGCACCGGATTTAAAATTTCCAGACATCCGTCACTTTCCCGAAGCATTCATTTTGGATACTGAGGCCAGTGTAACGGGTATCGGAGCTGTGTTATCCCAACGAATAGTGGACGGTATTCGGCCGGTCATCGCATACGTGAGCGGAACCTTCTAGCGTCGGGAACGTAAATATCGCACTAGGCGGAAGGAGATATTCTCACTGAAGTTTTTCATTAAAGACTTCCGGCACTATCTCCTTGGCCGCAAGTACT